GCCACCTCTAGGGTGGGCCACAGGGGCTGTTTATACAAGGACCCCTCACCCAACACTGAGATGCAGCCACCTCTGGGGTGGGGAATGGGGGTTGTTTATACAGGGACCCCTCGCCCAGGGCTGAGGTGCAGCACCCAGGCTCTGGTAGGTCTCCCACCCAAGCCCTGCTAGATCTGAAGCTCCCGTGAAATCGCCTGAAACACCCCTCACTCCTTCTCCCCTAGGGTTTTCCTTTGGGGTGTGTGCGTGTTCCCCATTTCCCCGCCGCCCCGGGCGCTCACCGTATGCGCGTAGCGGAGCTGCCCTGTCCGGTCGCAGTACATGATGTTCAAGCGCCGGCTCTGGTAATCAGTGCAGTTGGAGGTGCTGGAGATCTGGGAAAGCAAGGAGGGGCCGTGTGGCGGGAGGTGGCTTGGGGGACGGCAGTCATGTGACACACAAAAGCAGTCACGTGACCTGCCAAAGGAGTTTGGGTGTCCCCACATCCAGACCAGTCCCCTCCCCTACCCCTGGCCTTTTCCCTACCTTCCCAAGACAGACCAGTGGGTCTGGTGCCTCCACCCCACGCCCCCCAATCATCACAAATGGACCCACCCCCCCAGTGTATTTGCATTAGGGGGGGGTGTGATTTTATATCTCCTTCCTGACCCCCCACACGGCTATTCACCCCCACAACCTGAAGCATGAGGGTGGACAGCCGTTGAGGTTGAGATCCTAACCTAAGGGAGCCAAGGCACATGGGGCAGCAGGAGATCTCAGCCAGGGCTGCCCCCTTCACCCCAGATCCCCTGGACAAGCTGCTCGCTTGGCGCCTGGATTCCCCCCCACGCCCACCGCTCCAGGTGGCGGCTCTCACCTCACCATACTTGCCCCTGCCGGGCATCCAGGCTTCGATGTCATATTTCCGGTAGGCGGGCAGCCCGAGCTCCTGGGTGGGCATATCCAGGACCCTGCCGCAGAGAGACCAGTCAGGCAGGCGGTGGGAGGTATGGACTGATCCCAGCACTCGGGGCACCTGGTCCGGAGCAGGGTGCTGGTGCCGACTTCCCAGCCCAGCGGGGAAGCGGCCCTGAGCCGCCAAGGAGGGCGGCAGGGTAACCCTTGTGGGGGTGCCCCTCACCCCTGCCCCATACTCCCCTTTTGACAGAGGCCTGCAGAACTCCCAGCCTCCCCTCCCCTGCTCACCTGTAGTGCAGCCCTAGCTCAGAGAAGATCTCCTTCTGCAGGGCGAGGAACTCCTCCAGCAGGGCGGCGCTCTCCTCCCCGCTCTCCGCCGCCGTCACCCCGAACATCTCCACCTGGGGGGGGAGGGAAACTGGCGCGTCAGGCGGGAGGAGCCGCTTCCAC